CTGCAAGCCTGCCCCTCACACCCCCCAGTATTCAGCACACAGTCCCTCTCTCTCTCTGGATCTAAAGTCCCCAGCTGCTCTATCGCTCCACGTCATTGTCTCTGACATGTTATCTTTTTCACTCATATAAAATTCGAAATGCATAAAACTGTCTGTACTTTGGTTTTTCCCTCCTTTCTCTCGATTTTGTTATCACTAAAAAGGGGTGTTAAAATCTGTTGACTCTCCCGTCTGCATTGTTAGCTAAGTGAGAATACCTCATCTTTTATAAAAGATTGAAAGGAATCATCTCCCTATTGCCTAATATTAACATTTCTGAGAAGAGTTCTTAGGGGAAAACTTTTTTAATTAAGTAAAATATATTACTCATAGCTAAAATAAGTTCCTCAGCAAGGAAGAGAAGGTCTTAGAAATCTTTGGTAGGAAAAAGAAAGTCTCCCTCATGGTAAGGTCTGTCACACCACGCAAATCAAAGGCCCGCAGATCGCCATGTTAGATCTCCAATGAATGGAAGTATTTGAGCTGTTTCTTTAAGCTTATGGATAACTTTTACCCAGATTTGCTTTGTGTGCCGCAGTATTGTATAGTCAATTCTTGTCACTCACAGTAGTGTCCCTATGCACATTGAATGCTGAGGTGAATACTAAACCATTGTTTATAGGGAAAATTACAGGGTTGGGATTCTGCAAGCCTCTGGTCACAACATTTTCATCACTTGACTAATACATAACCTTGCTTTATGTGTGTTTTATGTGTATTTAAAAGCACATTATTTGCTGATTCATTAACGTTGAAGTTATGGCCAACAGCACTAAAATTCATACCCAAATGAAGCTTACCCAATACATATATCTTCTACATAAGACACGCCACAGCATACTTGTGCTTAGGAACACTAGCTAGCACTTTATCACTGTGCTGAGGGGCCAATTAAAATGGCCAAATCGCCAAGAAAAATGCCAAAAGTAGTGACACTGAATAGACTGAGTGGCTACATGCTTGGCTCCATGTGAGAAAGAGCCGGCAGTCTGTGCCCATAAAGATTATAGCCCAGAAAACCCTCCGGGCAGGTGGACTCTGTCACCTGGGATCACTATGACACGGAATCAACTTGGGGGCACGTAACCTCAACAGCAGATGAACTCAGAAACTCAGAACCAAAACAAGAAGGTCAAGTATCACTTTCTTCAACTTCAGCTGGAAACGTGGCACATTGGACGACTCTCGTTTTTTACTGCTCTCTACACATATATGTCCATGAAAGACCACAAAAGTGCTGCGAGTATTAGTTTGGGGGTTTGTTGTTGATATTGTTAGGTGTTATCAAGTTGGTTTCCACTCATAGTGACCTTATTTATGCACAACAGAACACAGCATCGCCTGGTCCTACACCATCCTCAGAATTCTTGTGCGACACTTGCACCCATTTCTGCTGCCAATGTGCCAGTCTATCTTGTTGGAGGTCTTTTTTTTCACTGACCTTCCACTTTACCAAGTATGATGTCCTTCTCCAGGCACTGGTTCCTCCTGATGATATTTTTGAAGTATGAGATACCAAGTCTGGTCATCTTGGTCTCTGGCTATACTTTTCCAACATAGATTTGTTTGTTCTCCTGACAGTTCATGGTACACTTTCAATATTCTTCTCCAACACCATAATGCAAAAGCATCAATCCTTCTATGGTCTTTATTCCTTACTCAACTTTATTCCTTACTCAACTTTCATATTCCTTACTCAACTTTCATTTTCATATGAGAATACCATGGTTTGGATCAGCACATCTTAGTCCTCAAAATGACATCTTTGCTCTTGAACACTTTAAAGAGGTCTTATGCAGCATTTACCTAATGCAGTGTGTTGTTTGATATCTTGACTGCTGCTTCCATGAGTGTTGATTGAGTATCCAAGCAAAATGAAATCTTTGTTAGCTTCGATCTTTTTTCCATATTTCATGATGTTATTTACTGATCTATTTGTATTTGGGGTTTCTTTACATTGAGGTACAATCCCTACTGAAGGCTGTGGTCTTTGATCAGTAAGTGTTTTAAGTCTTCTTCCTGTACAGTCAACAAGGTTGTATCATCTGCGTATCTCAGATTGTTAATGAGTCTTCTTCCATTCTTAATGCCACACTCTTCTTCATATAATCCAGCCTTTTGTATTGTTTGTTCAGCATACATATTGAGTAAGTGTGGTGAAAGAATATAACCCTGGCACACAGCTTTCTTGATTGTAAATCATTCAGTATCCCCTTGTTCTATTTGAATGATTTTTTTCTTATCTATGTACAGGTTCCTCACGAGCACAATCAAAAGTCATGGAGTACTCATTCTTCTGTTTTATCCACAGCTTGTCATGATCCACACAGTCTAATACCTTCACATAGTCAGTAAACCACAAGTAAATATCCTTTTGGTATTCTTTGCTGAGCCATCTGGCATCAGCAATGTTATCCCTAGTTCCGTATCCTCTTCTGAATCTGACTAGAGTTTCTGGCAGTTTTCTGTTGATGTGTCTCTGTTGCAGTTCTCTGTTGCAGTCATTTTTGAGTTATCATGAATAAAATTTTACTGGCATGCTATATTAGTGACATTGTTCAATAGTTTCCACATTCTGTTGGTCATCTCTCTTTGGAATAGGCATAAATATGGATCTCTGCCAATTGGCTGGCCAGGTAGCTGTCTTCCAAATTTCGTGGCACAGATAGATGAGTGAGTGCCTCCAGTGCTGCATCCATTAGCTTAAAGATTTCAATTTGTATTCCATCAATTCCTGGAGCCTTGCAACTTGGACTTAATTCCTTTAGTACCACTGGCTTTTGATCATATGCTATCTCTTGAAATGGTTGAACATCGATCATTTCTTTTTGGTACAGTGTTTCTGTGTATACCTTCCATCTTCTGTTGATGCTTTCTCCATCTTTCAATATTTCGTCCATCGAGCCCTTCAGTATTGCAAGTTGAGGCTTGAATTTTTTATTCAGTTCTTCCAGCTTGAGAAATACTGAGTGTGTTCTTCCTTTTTGGTTTTCTAACTCCACGTCTTTGCACATTTCACTATAATACTTTGTCATCTCAAGTTGCTCTTTGAAATCTTCTGTTCAGCTCTTTTATTTCATCATTTTTTCCATTTGCTTTTGAATCTCTACACTGAAATGCAAGTTTCAGAGTCTCTTCTAACATCATTTTTGTCTTTCCTGTCTTTTTAATGACCGTCTGCGTTCTTTCTGTATGACGTTCTTTATGTGATCTTGATATATGGAGTTAAAAATACATTTTACTGAGTATGAGAATTGGCACATACAGAATCCACAGACAAGGTGGATTGATCCTACCTGTAACACCAATAAACTCTTTAGAACCAAAGGGCCCTCAACAGTATCTTCTCTTGACCATGGTGCTGTTGCAGTGACAGTTTAGTGTTGTTTGACACAAAGCACAAAATCATTTTATTTCATTTCTTTATTTGGTGAGTTAAGAAATATACTATGAATTAATAGATTTGTTTCTCTGCTATTCATAAGGTTTTCAATGACTAAAGATTCGGAAGTGGTTCTTCACTCTTTCTTCCTAGTCTATCTTTGTCTGGGAGCTCATCTGAAGCCTGTCCACCGTGGGTGACTCTGCTGGTATTTAAAATACCAGTGGCATAGCTTCCAGAGTCATAGCAACTCACAAGCCACCACAGCACCACAAACTGACAGACGAGTGGTGGATTGATGAAGATCAAAAAGCACAGCCTTCAGTATGGATTACATCTCAGTGTAAAGAAAACAAAAATCCTCACCACTGGACCAATAAACCACATTCTTATCAACAGAGAAAAGATTGAAGTTGTCAAGGACTCCATTCTTCTTGGATCAACTATCAAAACTCACGGAAGCAGCAGTCAAGAGATCAAACAACGTATTGCATTAGGCAAATCTGCTGCACAGGACCTTTTTAAAGTGTTGAAGAGCAAAGATGTCAGCTTGAGGACTAAGGTGCACCTGACCCAAGCCATGCTGTTTTCAGTAACCTCATTTGCATGCAAAAGCTGGACAGTGAATAAGGAAGACCATAGAAGAATTGATGCCTTTGAGTTACAGTGTTGGAGGAGAATACTGAAAGTGCCATGGGCTGCCAAAAGAACCAATAGATCTGTTTTGGAAGAAGTGCAGCCAGATTGCTCCTTAGAGGCCAAGATGAAGATGGCCAAACTTCATCTCTCATAATTTGGACATATTGTCAGGAGGGACCAGTCACTGGAGAAGGATATCATGAGGAAGACCCCCAACGAGATGGATTGGCCAAGTGGCAGCATCAATGGGCTCAAGCGTGGCAACAGTAGTGAGGTTGGCCCAGGATCGGGCAGTGTTTCATTCTGCTGTGCATAAGGTCGCTATGAGTCGGTACCGACTCGTGGCACCTAACAACAACAACAACAATAGATTTGCATCTCTTCTGCCGTAATGGCTTGCCTGTGGTTCTTTTAAAAGAAAAGAGAATGGACTTGCCATCTTTCCCCGCCTGGGCTGTTGTAATTTTTGTAGTTAGTAACACCATGCTTTCTCTGTTGTATTTCTTCACCTGTCTTTTCATTTGGATGAGCCACCTCCATCCCCACCCCACACATGCAGCCCACATCCTGTTGGGAGGATAGAGGAGGGAAATGCCTAATTAATGCTTAAAATAAGCTTGTAAAGTTCAGGTTTTACTATGGGAATAGGGTTGGTCTTAGTTTTAGATTGAATTTGGAAAAGCAACTATGGGAGAGAGGACCAAGGAAGTTTACAGGGAGGCAGAAGGCAATGATACTGGTTAAGAAGGGACCAAATTGAAACTTCTCCACAAAGTCTAGTGGGACAGGCTTCGATTTACCTCAGAAGGTAAGGTCGGCTGATGGCCTTGGTAACCAGGGTAAAATGAAGAGCGATTTCGGGAGACTGAACTCTTTTCAGACGAGAAAGTAAAAGCAGCTGAAGAGGAAACAGTGAATTTGTGGAAGTTTCCTCTTTTCCCAACAACTCTCAGATTGGGAGGCTCTGTAGTATGCCATCCATCCATTTACACCATTAACATCAAAGAAGTGTACACATGTTTAGACTGTCTCAATAGGTCCTTTCATAGAACCTATGAAGTCCTCATGTGGCACTATAAGATAAGCACAAGGTCTGTTCAAATGGACCAGCTGCTCCTCAGAAGCCCTACACGGGCTCACTATGAATTGGAACCAATTCAGTGGCACTTAACAGCATCACGGTACTGATAGTAATTACTCAGTTTCACATCAACATAGCTGAGAATATCAGCTTTGCATGTAGACTCCCTTAGATGAATGTTCTTTTCTTCAAATAAATGAGCCATCATTCCACCCTACGCTTCAGAATCAATTTCTATTTTCCTGAAAAACCTCCTTTTTATTTGTGTAGGTCCTAACGCTGGTCCCGATGGTCTTATTCCATGGACGAGGTTTTGTAAGGTAGGTCCTCTCTGGGTTTTATACCAATCTGAGCTCTTTTTCCTCTCCGGTGAGGTGCACATATTTCTCACGGTGGCATTGACATTGTTTGTTTATCTTGGCATGGTTATCTTCAGGCAGAGGGTTGAAGTCTAGTGTGAGTCTGACAGGAAGCATCTGCTTGAGCGATAACATTCTTTCACATCCAAATTGTGCCTTCAGTTTGTTCACATTGACCCTTTGTCTGACAGGACGTTTCCCACATGCATAAGGAAACGTGTTCCGTGCGCTGAGTAAGCATCCTAACTGACCAGAGCAAGTTCTAGGGGCCTGTGCCAAGCAGAGGCACCCGTTGGAGGGACTAATTGAATCCTGATGGTGGAGCTGTGGCACACCAGACTGCTAACTGCAAGGTCGGCAGTTCAAACCCACCAGCTGCTCTATGAGAAAAAATAAGGCTATCTACTCCTATAAAATTTGAACCCTGAGAAACCCTATCCAGGGTCATTGTGAGTCGGAATCGACTTGATGGTACTGGGTCTGGTTCAGTTTGGGTTTAGGGTGTCCAGAGGAGTCTCTGGACGGTGCAGATGGTCCAGCACTTGGCTGCTAAGTGGTGACTCTGAAAAAAAGGCCTGGTGATCTGCTGTCAGGTCACAGCCGTGAAAAATCCATGTGGAGTGTGGTTGTATTTTGTACACTCAAGGCCACCATGAGCCAGAAATGACCACACACACCTGGTTTGGGGTCAACAGACACTGCAGACAAGCGTATTCTCCTTGGATGTGGCTAGTGTGAAGGGAGATTTTGCCCCATGATTCATCGAGAGGTCAGGTTTCCTGGAGAAGGAAGCAGAGCCTGACCCAGGCAATGGAAGCTCAGTGTCTGAGCACCGTTAAGTGGAGAGGAGCTGTTGTTCCGGTCCAGGTGATGTCATTCCATACTGCAGCTAGCTGCAGCTCTGGACTGGCCAGACAGTCCAGCTTAGGCCGTAGAGGAATCTTTGCAAACTAAAATCTGATGGCGGGAGGGAGGCAGATCTGCTAAATCACTGTTTTGGGTTTCTTTGTTCCTAATGTGTGTATTTTTATACTTTCAGGAAAATATCAATGATAAAAATTTTTCATTCTGGCTTTGGATTGACAGTATCCTTGAACTCATTAAAAAACACCTGCTCCCTCTCTGGAATGATGGGTAAGGGCCATTGATAGATACATTTTTGAAAAATATATTTAGCACATGCTCCCTTATGCAAGGCTGGGGACATTATTTGAAAGATACGTGCTCTTTCAGGCTGACCGTTCAAGGTTTCATGAAGGTTAAAGCTTCATAAGGTTAAAATGACCCTTTTATAGTATACAGTGAAGTCCTGATGTGGCACTACAGGGTAATGCGCTGGACTGCAAAGTCTGTTTGAACCGTAAGGTTGGTGGTTCAAGCTCACCAGCTGCTCCTGGGAAACCCTATACAGGGTTGCTATGAGTTGGAACAGACTCAAAGGCACTAACATCAGCAGCAACAACAGTAGTATACGTATGTGTATTTTCAAAGTTTAAAAAAACCCAGCCACGTTCCATTCCTGCATTAATTCATTGGTTCAACAAAAAGTTCCTATCATATTGTCCTGAGAATGGCAAACCAAACCCATTGCCTTCACGGCGACGCTACTCATACCAGCCCTAAAAGACAGTAGAACTGCGCCTTAGGGTTTCAGAGACCAAATCTTTATGAGAGCAAACAACATCTTTGGACCATTAACCTTGTGGTTAGCCCAGTGCTTAAACCACTGTGCTACCAGGGTTCCTTATATTGCCCTTTTTATTGTTTTTAAGTGCTGTTGAGTCAGTTCCGACTCATAACGACTTGTCCAGGGTTTCCAAGGAGCAGCTGGTAGGTTTGAACTGCCAGCCTTGTGGTTTGCAGTCCAGTGCTGATCTACTGCATCATACCAGGAATCCAGTATTGCCCTTAGGAAGGAAAAAATTTGGTAAATTGTTTCTAAGTATTTTTTTAAAGTTTATTCCCAAAAAAAGGAGCTCTGGTAGCATAGTGGTTACGAATTGGGCTGTGAACCGCAAGGTCAGCAGTTCGAAACTACCAGCTGTTCTGCAGGAGAAAGATGAGGCTTTCTGCTCCCATAAAGATCTACAGCCTCAGAAACCCTGTACAGGGTTGCTATGAGTCGGAACTGACTCTGTGGCACATAACCACGAACCATTCCAACAAAAAACTTATAACTCGACCAGAAGTGCCAGAATATGAAACTATATTGTCTGAGCTGTCTCTTCCAGTGTAAACGTTGTTGTTGAATGCCATCGAGCTGGTTCCATCCCATAGCAATCTTGTATAGGGTTTCTAAGGGTCAGCTGGTAAGTTTGAACCACCGACTTTTCATTTCAAACCGACTTCGGTCCAGTGCTTATTCTACAGTGCCACTTGTTAGTTAAGTGCTGTCGAGTCGGTTCTGAACCATGGCAACCCTGTATAGGGTTTCCAAGTAGCAGCTGGTGAGCTTGAACTGCCGATCTTGTGGTTCAGACTAACCTTGCAGTCCAGCGCATTAACCCACAGTGCCACACAGTGCCACATGGAGGCGTGAAATTCAGACATTTTCATGACTGATAGCATCTTATGGTAACCATTATATCATTTCTTCTGGATATTAGCATATGTGTTTTATTAAAATCAGGAGCCCTGGTGGCTCTGTAGGATAAGCACTGAACTATTAACCACAAGGTCAGATTTCCACTGGAGAAACTTTACAACTTCAGAAGCACTATACAGGGTTGCTGTGGGTCCAAATAGACTCACTGGCAGTGGATCTGGTTTGGTTTGGTATAATTAAAATGCTTCTCGAGTGCCCAGTACATGATGTTAAAGCATGTAAACTGTATATGCCAGAGAACTTCAAAAAGTCTGTTGAAAAATGGAATGAAAAAAGATCATGGAATTTTTCCATTTGGTCATGTGATCTTCTGTTAAGTACCAGTTGTCTGATTTGTAAGTTAGGGTGAAAATTGGAGTCCTGATTGAACAGAGCACCTCTGCCAATCCTCTTTCAACATCCAGGTGTATCGTGGGCTTCATCAGCAAGGAGCGAGAGCGGGCCCTGCTGAAAGAGCAGCAGCCGGGGACGTTCCTGCTGCGGTTCAGTGAGAGCTGCCGGGAAGGGGCCATCACATTCACGTGGGTGGAGCGGTCCCAGAACGGAGGTGGTACGTGAAGGCGTGTGCCTCCACACACGCAGCTTCTTCACCTTTGGGGAAATCCTTCCTCACTACAAATCAGCCCAGACAGATGAACGTTTGACTTACAATTGTGTACCCTTTTCTGAGGTTTCCAGATAGGACTTAAATCACCATAGATATTTGTGAATCCGTACCTTGGACATAGTGTGGGAACGTTATTGTTAAATGCCGTTGAGTCTGTTTCAACTCATAGCGACCATGTCTAGGGTTTCCAAAGAGCAGCTGGTGGGTTTGAACTGTTGACCTTGTGGTTCAACCCAACCTCGCAGTCCAGTGCTGATCTTAAAGCGCCTTTCGTTTAGTTAGGCCCATTATTTTAGGTGAAAGATTTGAATTAGTATAATCTGCAACCAGTTATTGGAAGGGAACATTTTTCATAGGTATAAACTTGTAGTTTCACTTAGAGTAATCTCACATTGAAGCAGATTGTTTTATGGGAATGAAATGAAATCATTTTCTTTCTAAAGTGATTGCCTGTATTGTTCTGGAGTGAGCTTAAGTTGGCATCTGGAAACTCCAGCATTGTGGGCTGCTGAGGGAACATTCTTTGCCAGCTAGTAGGAAGAAGTCTGCGACTACTTTGAGCATCAATTGGTAAAGTGGTCCTGGGGGCCTACGTGAACTAGAGAGGAGCTAGAAGGCCCTTACTGCCCCACATGTCTCTGTCTGTAGTTCTGAAATGCTATCACAGAAATGCCAGTCTTCTGGGGTTGAACACTTTATGGCTTTGAAGGACACTTTAAACAGTGGGTTTTGTTTTCTCATACACACTGATGTCACCTGGGCAACTTTTGAACAAATGCTGATGCCTGGAACCCACCATTAGAAGCTTTCATCTACTTGATTTAGGGTCTGACTTGGACAGTTGGACTTTAAAATCTCCCCCAGGTGATTCCAGTGGGCAGCCAAGATGAAAACTGCTTTTAAAGCTCTGGTTTCTCTGTGACATAAATAAATCTATTTATCATCCACTAATAGCTTCATAAAGGCTTATAACTCCGGATAGAAATTGAGGAGGCTTCAGTAAAATTTGAATGAAAAGATAATGGAATTTTTCCACAAACTTTTTGAAGCTCCCTCATCTGTTATATTATTCATTGTTAGTTTTAAGTTAAATAACATACGTTTGTCTCCCCTCATGAAGATAGCAGCTCCCTGCTCATGGGCATAAGAAGGGCAGGCTTTGAGAGATGGTCCCCTCATTGATTGTCTCCACACAGGGTGAGCTGTTAATTCTCCACCCTGCCTTCACTCAGAGCCACTAAAGTTTATCTGACCAAAAAGTCCATGTATAAAAAAACTGGAAAACATTGGCATTATAAAATAGGTTTCTTGGGATAAAGCTGAACCAGAAGTAATAATGAAAATAATAATGAAAAACGGATGATTTTTACTCTTGTTTATAGATCAAAGATCTATATGAAGGATGGGAGACCAAAGTGCTTTGTTCCAATGGCTTATGCTTTCATTAGGATAAGATGCAAAAAGATGGGATGTTTTTCTTGAGAGAATGAGAGAACTGGGACCAGAGCCTCATGTAGACAGCAGATAGGAAAGCCTGTCCTTTTTCTCTTCTTTTGGGATAGAGTGAGAATTAGAGAGAGTATGCTGACAACCAGTCAAAGGTGAAGAGAACCCTTGGCAGACAGAAGTTTGAGCAGGGCAGCACTAGTGGCAGAGGCTTAGGATGCCAGTGTAGTCTGCCGCTCTGCACCAGACCAGCGAACCTGAGCAGCAGCCCGTAAACTGTGTGCACCCAAGAGGGAGTACTGTGGTCAAGAAGAAGGATTCTAAGATTAACTTAAAACCAGAAGCGTATTAGCATGCTTTATTACATTCAAGATTAGAGTGAAGGGTAGCAAATAGAATTTCTATTTGTTTACAATCTATTTTCATTTAAGAAAAAAAGTTATTTTTCATTTTGAAAGGAAAAACAAATTTGAGTCCATCTTTTAGTAATTTCATCTATCCCTTAAGTTAAGATGGCCCGATTAGTTATTAGTTATCTGCTTGCTGGTAGCATATTGTTGAAGAGGCAGATTTTTAAATATGTCTACTAGTGTAGCGCTGTAGGATAGATAAGCATTTGACTGCTAACCACAAGTTGATCCTTGGAAACTCTATACAGAACTGATGCTACGTCACTTCACAACAACCAAACCTCTTTGGGGCAATTTTGATAGTCTAAGCATATAATAACAATTTCAGTGCTATTTAGAGTAATGGTTGCTTTGATTTTTCTTTTTCAGAAAGAATCATAATTTAGAAACAAAGGAAATATACCACTATGTGTTGCAATTCCTAGATGGTTCGCTTAGATCCATAAACTCTCCTTTTTCTGCCCCCTGTCTCTCTCTCTTTCATTGTTTTTGGGAATTACAATTCCATGGACTCACTTAGCCTTTCTTCTTTGTAGAACCTTATTTTCATGCAGTTGAACCCTACACGAAGAAAGAACTTTCTGCTGTTACTTTCCCTGATATCATTCGCAACTACAAAGTCATGGCTGCTGAGAATATTCCAGAGAACCCCCTGAAGTATCTGTATCCAAATATTGACAAAGACCATGCCTTTGGGAAGTATTACTCCAGGCCAAAGGAAGGTATGTGGACACAGTGAGCAATCATTACCCTGATGATAACAGCACATCTCATTCATTCCTGGCTACTCAGAGTTCTCGGTTTTGTGGGGTTTAATGACACAGATTTGCCTTTGCCTTCTTGTAAGTGTATGAGGGCTAGCACAAGTCCCACCTCTGTTATCCCATTAAACCACCAGTGAAGTGGTGAGAGCAGGCTTTCAAAAGGGCAGTAAGGGCAGCACAGTTGAAATGTAACACATTATCTGGGTAGACAATAGGTGATAAAATAACTCCTGCTTTTCGGGGTATTGGAAAAGTCCATTGCTGGTTTTGTGTGATTGTTACATTATTATCCTTTCTATATGGAAAGGGGTAACAGGTTGGACACCCATGGTCACCTGATTTATCCCAGCCTGCTGGTGATCAGGACCCCAAGTAATGAAACAAGTTAAACACTCAGCTGTTAGCAGGAAAGTTAGTGTTTCAAGAAGCATCTTGGAAGGCCTGGTGATGTATTTCTTAAAAATTTACCATTGAAACCCCCATGGAACACAGTTCACTGTGACACACATGGGGCCCCATGAGTGAGAGTCAACTTAGTGGTAACTAGGTTTGCCAGTAGTCACACTGAGAAAACCAAGACCCAAGAGAAGTGAAGTGCCTCATCCAAGGTGTCCCAATGATCAGATCCTATTATTCTTGGCAATTACTATTAAGAGTAGGCCTAGGCTTAGAAATTGGGTCTTCTACCTCTCAGTCTTAAGGCGCTCTGGTAGCATAGTGGTTATGAATCAGGCTGCTAACCTCAGGGTCAGCAGTTCGAAACTACCAGCTGTTCCACAGGAGAAAGATGAGGCTTTCTGCTCCCATAAAGATGTACAGCCTTGGAAACCCTGAACAGGGTCGCTATGAATTGGCACCGACTCCACGGCACATAACCACCACCACCTCTCAGTCTTAGCCAAATTGCATTTGTGAAAATACAAGTTAGACCCATCTGGTTTGGAACATGCCAACAAAGTTAATTTTAGAGGAGGATGAGAAATCTCAAAATTAGAGCAATTACCCTGCATTGAAGATGCCCCAACTTACATTTAGCCATGCTAGTATCACTAAACCACCTGTCTTGGGCTCCCATTTCTTGTTGAATTTGAAGTCCAAGGGAGAGGAAGTTCTCAGCTGGACTCCTGTCCTGATATCCACCTCCCCACCCCACCCTTTTTCTACTTGCTTCTGCATTATCATCAGAGTTTCAGGTGACCAAGGCAGGGAGGTCTTGAAAGTTACTGCCAACCCTAAATCTCCATAGAAATAAGGAGTGAAATTGTGACCAAAGAGAGGTTGAGTGCTGTTTCATGTATGATCTCTGCTGATGGCTACATGTGTTTGCTTCTAGCACCAGAACCAATGGAACTCGATGGTCCTAAAGGAACTGGATACATCAAGACTGAATTGATATCTGTTTCTGAAGTGTAAGTGAGCACTGAAGAGGGCCATGGTTAAAGACCTCAAGCCAGCCGTGTTCCTGGCTGGGGCCTGTTGAAGATGCTTGCATTTTGCTTTTTCATTGTAATTGCTCCGCCATCACAGCTGGACATGTTGGGAAAATCCCAGTTAGAGATCCTGGTGCACTGCCAATCAACATTTTACTGCCTTTTTTTAACAAACAAACAAACAAACAAAAACAGCAAAGTTGTATTTAAAGTATATTAAGTTCTCCAAAACCTGATACTTTGAATAAGTATAAATAAAATGAACAGAAATTGATCAGAGTGGGAAAGTAGTTATTTTCAATCCAGAACAGGCCAAAGTACTGATTGAGATACATTTCCTCCGCTTGGTTTTATTTTGTTGTTTCATTTTATAAAAGGTAGAAAATAAATTTGGAAAAGTCATTGTCAGTTGTTTGGCCTGCAGCCATATCCTGGGGTGAATGGATGTAGCCATCATGTTAAAACACTCTGTGGAGCAGCTCCATCTGCATACAAACCTCCAGGTAGGGACGAGGGGCTCCCCAGAAATTTCTCTGGTGCTTCTCTATCCAGGAAAAGCCGAGAAGCATCGTCATCATCTCGGTGACACCACCAAATGTGTTCGCATTTCTAGAGTTCACCAGGTTCCTGTCTGGTTATTGTGTCCTGATTCACATCTTTAAAGTCCGATAACATTTCCCAAGGGGCAGGGTTGGGGACACAAACCTCCCATTTTCCATTCTTTTCCAAATGCATTTTACGAATGTATAGAGTCACCAAAAATAAAAATAAAGTAAAAACAATTTTAAGTCCCTGGGTGGTGCAAATGGTTAAATGTGTTTGGCTACTAATGGGAAGGTAGGAGGTTCGAGTCCATTCCAAGGTGCCTTTGAAGAAAGGTGTGGCAATCTACTTCTGCACAATCAGCATTGGAAACCCTAAGGAGCATAGTTCAACTGTGACACACATAAGGCCATCATGAGTTGGAATCAACAGAAGCAACTGGTTATAGAAAAAAAAACATCATAGCGTGTACCACTGGGCATTAAAATGTCCTTTCTTCTCTCCCCATTTAGTCACCCTTCTAGACTGCAGACTACGGACAACCTTCTCCCCATGTCTCCCGAGGACTTCGATGAAGTGTCTCGGATAGTGGGGTCTGTAGAATTTGACACTATGGTAAGTAACGGGACCCGGGTGGGATGTCACCCTCAATGAGTGTGTGCTTTCAGGCAACAGAGCCGCCATGGCTGATTCGGGCCTGCCTGTGGATACCAGAAGGATCCTCTGGTGGAACCAAGGAAAAGGTCTTGATAGGATTAGTCATGGCAGGTTGGAGCCAGCTATACTTCAGCAAGCTACATCACCACCGGGATTTTTATTCTAAAAGTAAAGTGATCTTTCAGATATTTACAGCTTCCTCCCTGTCTCTTAAAGTTGTCTATGTAGATATTTCATACATGAAGGAGTAAGAGTTCTGGTAATAAAATGTTTCCTTTGGCCTGTGTCTATGAAGAAGTGTTGTTTCTAGGAAGGGAGGAGGAATCTGATGCGTGAGAGTTACAATAATAATAGACTTGTACCTAGCTAAGGAGCCCTGGAGACTCATTGGGTTAGTCAATGGACCACAGGGTCAGTAATTCAGACCCCCCAGTAGCTTTGTGGGAAAACGATGAGGCAGTCCAGTAAAAACTTACAGTGTGGGAAACGCACAGGGCACAGTTCTAATCTGTCATATAGGGTTGCTGTGAGTCAGAGTCAGTGGATGGTGGTGGGTGGGTGGCTGGGTGGGTGGGATACTTAGTTAGCAGCAAGGAAACAATTTCACCTGATTTGTGTTTGAAAACTAATTTGTATTGCTAGTGGTACAGCTGTGAAGGACTTGCCAAGAGTTAAAAGATTCAGCTAGTGAAGCAGTTTACAAGTGTCATGATCAGAATGTGACCATAAAAGAGACAGTCTTGCTTTGGAAGTTATGTTTGCAATATATCAAATAGCACTGTTTGCCTTCCAGTCTGAAATCCAGGCTCTTGAAGATTTTGTTTGGTTGGCTGGATTTTTACTGATGCTATTTAAAATTTTGTTTCTAAGAATTTGCTTAATACTTAACAAAAACAAAACCCTGGAAAAGTATTTGTGTTTTGTTATGAGGGCAAAAGTAAGATGAGTGATCGGGAGAAAAATGCCCTATTCAAACATTTAGGATCATGTATATGTTCGTAGTGGTTACGAATCAGGCTGCGATCCACAAGGTCAGTAGTTTGAAACTACCAGCTGCTCCATGGGAGAAAGATGAGGCTTTCTGCTCCCGTAAAGATTAACAGCCTCGGAAACCCTATGCAGGGTCACTGTGAGTCGGAACCGACTCCACGGCACATAACAACAACAACAATACGTTTATACTGTATCAGTAATCTCTGCTTAGATTCAAGTTTCTGGTATGTAACTTTCTTCGTCATCCTTTTCTTCAACTGAAGTACTGGCTAATATCTGTAGAGACTGTACTGTCTCATACTTTTCTGATTGCTGACGATGGAAACAGATTGCTTAGAAAACTGCCTAGACTGTGTAGGAGCAAACTCTGCTCCTGTTGGCAGGTGTGAAATGAACTCTTTACATATAGCTGACTGCCGTCTAGTCGATTCTGACTCATAGTGACCTGATTTGTTGTTAAGGGCTGTCGAGTTAATTCTGACCTATAGCGACCCTGTATAGGGTTTCCAAGGATAAGCTTGTGAGCTTGAACCACCAACCTTGCAGTTCAAACGACTTTGCAGTCTGACGCATTAGCCCACAGCACCACACCAGGACTCGGAAAGGACAGGGTAAAGCTTCTCCATAGGGTTTCTGGGATATAAAGCTTTGCAGAAGCAGACTGCCCATTTCTACCTGCAGAGCTATTGGTGGGTTTGATTAGCCAACCTTTAGGGTAGCAGCCCAGTGCTTAAGCCACTGCACCATCAGCATTCCTTAGCTTATCTATGAAGCTACATACACAGACACATACACACACACACACACACACGGAGGTTTCAGAAAGTTTGTTTAAACATTCTGATATCTTTTAATTCCATTTTTTCTACAAGTTTTTTGATGCTCCTTCAAGTATACATGTCTTATATGAAATATTTATAATCCTCTTACAAAAGTAGAACAAATGTAAAGCACTGTTGAGAAAAATGTTAGATCTACCTGTATTGATAGAACGCAAAACTGGGTTGACCTGCTTTCATGCCTCACTTGTTGTTCTTGAGCAAGTGATGACATGTCATCACCAGCATCATTCTTGAGCAAGTGGTGGCATTTATTAGAGTCTGGACATGTGCCAGGCACATAGCCCTCAAAACAACCTTCTGAGATAGGTGTTTCTGCTGTTCCCATTTTTACAGATGTGGTAATGGACCTTCCAGAAGTAAGTAATGACTAAGATCAAGCAGCTTGTAAATGCTGGGACAAATGTTTCAATCTACCCAGTGTCTCCAAACTACAGACTCTTAGGCACTGAACTAGATTCTTTTCCCACGAAAAGCTAATTTTTGTGCCATTTAAAACATGAACCCTGCATGGGACCAAGTGTGTCCTGCATTTGGGATTTAGTAATCTGTCTTTGCCATTGTCTGTAAGATCCATGCATTCCCTCCTTCTGCACAATTAATATGGCTGTTTTTCTCTGGTTGATACCATGAGAGCAATTTAAATACAACATTAATTGGATTTTCAGTAAATGTATTGGATAATTTTTTGGAGATTTGTGATAATTTTGGGGGAAAAAAACATTGCAGACTAATTGCATAGCCTAGAAGTTTGTTTTTTTTTTTAATTAAGAAGAAGATATGCCATGAATGCATAAAATTTGTATAGATACTGGTCTATTTTATCACTTGTATAAGGAGCTCTGGTAGCAGAGTGGTTACAAATCAGGCTGCGAACCTTAAGGTCAGCAGTTGGAAACTACCAGCTGTTCCTCAGGAGAAAGATGAGGTTTTCTGCTTCCGTAAAGATTTACAGCCTCGGAAACCCTGTCCCAGGGTTGCTGTGGTTCGGAATCACTCAACAGCATTTAACAACAACAAGGAGCTCTGGTAGTGTAGTGGTTACGAGTCGGGCTACTAACCTTAAGGTCAGCTGTTCGAAACTACCAGCCATTTCATGGCAGAAAGATGAGGCTTTCTGTTCCCATAAAGATTTACAGCCTTGGAAACCCTACACAGGGTCACAATGATTTGGAACCAATTCCATGGCACACCACCATCATAAAATATGGAGGCTGGTGTGGTGCTGTGGGTTAATGCGCTTAACTACAAAATCCGTTGGAACTGCAACGGATTCAAGCTCACCAACAGCTCCTCAGAAACCTGGTGGTTCAAGCTCACCAACAGCTCCTCAGAAACCCTATCCAGGGTCACTATGGATTGGAACCAACTCAACGACACTTAACAACAAAAATCAAAATATATATCCTATTGTGAATCTATTTCATTGTTATTGTTAGGTGCTGTTGAGTCTGTTCTGACTCATAGCGACCCTGTATAGGGTTTCCAAGGAGCAGTTGGTGACTTTGAACTGTTGACCTTGAGGTTCTCAGTCCAGTGCTGATCCTACAGCACCATACCAGGAGTCTAAAATCTATTATAAAAAGTTAAAATTTATGAAAACTTGCACACACAAATACAGACTGTATGGGGTAGCACTCCCAGTCAAGAGCAATATAATCACTGTTAAGTTGCAGTGTGAAGTCATTCCTGTATAGAGTCCACCTGTAGCACATATAGTGCTGCTGTAATGATTTCTTAGCAAGTGTCTGCTAAACGTGCCGTGTGGCATTCATCATCAGGGTGAGCAGGGCGTCTTTCCAGTACATTGTGTATCACATGAAAAGTGAGCTCTCCTGGTTTTCATGTATTTTTCATTGTGGTCAGTGTAATACCATGAATAACACCGTGGAAGCCATGCGAAGTGCCATTGTTGTTGTGTGTCGTGGAATCAGTTCCGACTCATAGCGACCCTGTACAGGGTTTCTGAGGCTGTAATCTTTACGGGAGCCGAAAGCCTCATCTTTCTCCCGCAGAATAGCTGGTAGTTTCGAACTGCTGACCCTGAGGTTCACAGCCTGATTAGTAACCACTATGCTACATTAGTGGTGCCAGAAGTGTCCTAAGAAGCAGAGGAAAGAGTTGCTTGATGTGCACTGTAGAGTGAGGGCTGCAGCTGCAGTTAGCTGCCATTACAAGATAAAGGGATTCAGTGCCTGGGCCATAGTCAAAAACAGAAAAGGAAATTTGTGTAGCTGTCCTTGCAGCTGTGCCAACGGGCACAAAAACCTTGCAGTATTTTGAGGAATAGTCTTTTAATCTCATTGAAATGCAACTTTTATTTGGGTGCAGCATAATACAGATACAAAATAGTCATCGACTGCCTTTGTGACTGGGAAGGTTGCTGATCAACCATGGTGCTGTAGCACTCCCTTGAAAACCCTATACAGGCTCACTGGGAGTTGGAACCAGTTAGTCGGCATTTAACAACAAACAGCACTCTTCAGTTTGAGGGAAGCCCAAAATTTTAGGTGGGTTTTCACCTGCATGGGGCGCTCAACTTTAGTGGGAGTGGTGTGGGGGGAGGGAAGGGTTACCTTCCTTAACCCCTGCTTTGTTCAAGGGTACTTTCAATAAATTCCAGAAACGATGTTGTAGTCTCTAGCTGCAGCCCTTTATAGCCATTCTATTTTAGGTGATTGTATTCATTTGCAGACTAAAATTAATTTTTTCCTCTCTCTGTCACACACACATAAACACACACACACACACACACACACACACACACACTACCACTATTATAAAGATCTCCAGATAAATCTGGAGAAGACTTAGAAGAGCTAAAAGAGTCGATGATATAGGCACAGCACTGACTTCAAAACCAAAAACCAAACCCACTTCTGACGAGCGATTCCTACTCATAGTGACCTTAGCGGACGGACTAGAACTGCCCCCTAGAATTTCAAGGCTGTAGTTTTTACTGAAGCAGACTCGAGTGGCTGGTGGGTTAGAATCAGACTTCTTCCAGTTAGCAGCTGAGCACGTTCCCGCTGTGTTACCATAATGCCTTCTGGCACTGGTTAGACAAAGTAAAAATTTGACTATTCTCTAAATTGGATGTATGCTGTCCCCACCTTGGTCATGACTTCCATTTAGCCTTCATTTTTGAACTCTCTTGGAGTTGGCTGGTTTTACTTAAGTCTGAAAGTTGCAGCTCAGGATTAGGGGCAGCATGGGAAGGCCAATGCCTGATTCAGCCGAAGGAGCAAGAGAACACAACGTTCACAAGGAAATTGTCCAAGAGAGCCAGCATTTAACCTGGCTTATTTTCGTACAACCTGACATGAGGTGGGGGTGTCCATCTGTGTTTCCTATATAATAAACTTTATCTTCTGGAATTACGTAAGAGCCACACTCTGCTGTCTTAGAGACCTTTGACCAAAGCTCATGAAAAACTGAATAACAGAAACATTATCTCCTAGTAAAGATGAAAGATTTACAGCTTCGGAAACCCTATGCAGGGACGCTCTGGGTTGGAACCTACTTTCCAGCACACCACCACCACAGTCTCAAGCTGCCTGGGCAGGGGACTGGTTTGGTGGTGGGATTCCCACCTTCCCAGCCTCTGCACCTCAAGTACAGCAACTTGTCACTGGAAACTTGCATGGCGCTATGGTACTGAGCAGGTTTCACCAGACTGGACCAGGAGGAAGGGACTGGTGATCTGCTTTGGAAAACCAGCCGCTGAAAACCCCGTGGAACACAATTCTTCTGTGACTCGCATGAGGTCACCATAAGGCGGAATCATCTCCATGACAACCAGAAACTGAGCCAAAGGAAGTACTTGGGAAGGGTAGAGGGGTTCTTAATCTACTTCTCCAGTCTATAACTAAATGCATTTATTGATGACACCTACAGAGTGACCATGATAGGGAATTTATTTATGACACCTACGGAGTGAGCGTGATAGGGCGTTTATTTACAACACATATGGAGTGACCATGATAGGGAGTTTTTTGCCCTTCATACTGCCCTCTCTCCACTGGCATCTAGTTCAGATTTGTCTCATCTGTATTTTGCATGAGCAGATTTGGCATGTTGCTCTGCCCCCAGACTTTTATAATAGCAGAAAGCTTTGTAGAGCCTAAATGAGTTCACAAAATGAAGCTAGCAGGCTGCACAGTAATAACCCATCATCATAGATGGTATAAAAGGTCAGGGGTTAGCTCAGGCTAATGGACTGTGGAGGCTGAAGGCCCTCTAATTTGTGCTTGTTGCTATTCCTACTGCTACATCATTTGAATGGACAAGTAATGTTAAATACATGACTCTGCATGTCCCAGATTCACTGTAATACACCTAACTACATCTTTTCTTTTTTCAGATGAACGCGGTATAGAGCATGGATTTTCTTCATCTCATCGGGCAACATTTTCCCTTCCCATCTGTGATTTCCTCCTGCTGCTCTTTCTTTACCTCCTTTGTGTCTAGGGAAATGAAAGAAAGACCAACACATTTGCTGCATCTTGTTGATAGCAAGTGGATTTGTCCTTAAGTCAGAAACGTCCATTACTCTGAAAGACTTCCTGAATCTTACTGAAGGTAAAATTTTAAAGACACTGTCCTGCAGAATCAGTTTTGCAAGTGGGAAATGTCCAGATAGATCCAAAGCATGAGGACTAGAATGAGTCTTTGGGGGAAGGACAGAGTTTAGCAACCTCTAGCCAAGCTATCTATAAAGCCAGCATCCAACTGTTACAGCTGTTCAAGAGAGCACACGGTTACTTAGGAAACTTCTTGATGTAGAAATGGGTCATTTTTACTCGAAGGAATTTTTATTTTATGAAATCAAATTGTTCTCTGTCAAAAACATAGCTGGAAGTTTTCCAGTGGTGTACCTTTAAAAATAGAGTTCAAAGCCAAGTGTATATAACATTATATAAACTGTTAGATCCCACATCTGGATAGAAGGGAAAAGGTTATGTTATTTATTTTTGGCATCTTCCATACTGGCCATTTAAATTAAACACAAATTTTATCTCTTTTAGAATTAGCTTCGGTGGGAGAATTATGTTGATGATTGTTGTAAGATACTATTTAGTATCAATAGAAGGAGGTACATTTTCCAAATTCACAAGTCGTGTTTCTGTTTAATATCCAAAACAGTATATTCTGAATTCATCACAGTCACTAGTAAATTGTCTTTGTAGTTCTATCATGAAAGCAACACCATTAACCCTCTCTCTCAAGACAAACACTTTAGTTTTTGAAACATTAAAACAAGTAATAAGAACCGATTGCCATAGAGTTAATGGGTACCAATGTGTTTGGTAAGTGCGAGGCTGCTAACTGGAAGGGTCGTAATTTGAACCCACCAGCCACTTTGCAGGAAAAAGATATGACAGTTTGCTTCCATAAAGATTGTTGTTGTGGTTGTTAAGTGCCATCGAGTTAGTTCTGGCTCATAGTGACCCTGTATTTCCAAGCAGTGCCTGGTGAGTTTGAACCGCCAGCCTTACGGTTCAAACCAACCTTGCGGTCAAATGCATTAACCCACAATGCCACAAGATTACAGCCTTGGAAATCCTATGAAGTAGTCCTATAGGGTCAGTATGAGTTTGAAAAGTAATAATAGATGCAGATAAATTCAGAAATTTAATTCATGATTTTAAAGTAGATTGGTCTTTGTTGTTTTTACTCTATTTGTCTAGTCTATTAGTTATAAAATATAATTTTGTCATTTTCAAATTCAGAAGAAAAAACAGTAATTGACAACCCAAGTCATTAACCAGATAGTGTACATACAAATCGCTTAAAAATTTGTATCCGTTGTAATGGCATCTGGAACTACATTCACTGGTAAACGTTTTTCTTACAAATATATTAGCAAATAGTCCCATTTTCTCGTTTGTGTTTTGTCCAGAGACCTTTTGAATGATGTCAAGTGCATTGTGTTACTTAGCTTCTTTCTCCATTTGTGTGGACACAGAAATAGGGTGTGGAGGATGGGTTTGACAATTCTCCCGGACCACTTCCACAGACTGTTTTCTGTCAGCCTATCTTGTTTTCCACTGTCACAACTCTATAATGTGTATGCTGCATTGTTTTCCAGCGGGCACATTTTCTTTAAATCTATTTTTAAATTAAAGTGTATGTGTTGCATTAAATGTAATATGCATGTGATACTTTCCTTGTTTCTGTATACAAGTTAAAGCCTTCTCTCAGTTTCTACATAAAATTGTATGAATCTGACAGGGTTTGGGTTGATTTTTTAAACTTAGCTGATGAAGAAACAGAAGATAAAAAAACATATACTGTTAAGTGCTATCAAGTCAGTTCCGACTCATAGCGACCACACATAGGGTCTCTGAGGAGCGACTGGTGATTTGAACCACTGACCTTGTAGTTCAAAGCAACATTGAGGCATTATCCTGCAGCACCGTATAGGTACATATATACATACAGACATACATTGTTGTTAAGTGCTGTCGACCTTGCGGTTCAAACCGACCTTGTAGTCCAGCGCATTAACCCACATCGCCATATATATCTACATACACACACACATATATATATACAGTTTCTAGTTTCTGGTATGTAACTATTTGTTATACTCTTGCCCTTTGAGAAAGATTGAATGGTTTCATTTTACGACACCAGTGAAGAGACTGTATTTTTAAGACATTAAAATTCTGTTCGTCTCTTATTTGATATAAAGTTACTAGTATCATGTATAGGTTTAATGTCTTTCTCACTTAGTCTTATTTATGGTTAAATATGGAAACATATCAGTCCTCTGAAAGATTGATAGTATTGCCCTTTCCAACCTTGCTATAACTAGCATTGTTATACTAGTCTAAAAGAGATCAGTGCAAGAGATGATAGCAAAAACATGACCAGAACAAGCTATAAGAAGTTCCATAACAAGTAAACCGAGAAAAGGCCTTTGGTCTTGGTGACCATAGTTACTTGCAGGTGCACAAACACATGGGCCCTTGCTTTGATATTAATGGAGTTATTTCCAGTATGATTCTATTTGTCTTTTATGTCCCTGTTTGTGGGGCTTTGTCTTTCTCCACATCAGTCATCTGAAATCCCTGCCTCCATGGATGGGTGAGTTGTAATTGAAAAGTTATTGCACTCACATGAAAGCAGTGCTTCTTTTCACCAAAGATGTCAGATGCTAGAAAGTTATGCCCTTCTTACAATAAAAACATAGTGTGGGGCAAGTTAGACTGAACGTTGACGAAGTCTCAGGGAACAGTGTCCAGGCTTGGATTCTGAACCTCATCACAAATACGTTCCCATATCTGCAACTTCGGAACATCAGGTTTCTTCATAATGAACACAGAGCGATAGTTCTCTAGAAAGTAAAGTGTATCACATATTAAATTCTTATATAATTAATCATTCTCAGAAATAACTACTTAGATCCTGGCTTAGAAGTGTCCTTCTGCTGTGGTTTGTAGGATGTTTTATAAGCATAGAGCTGATATGTGCTCTTGGGACAAATTTCTCCTCTCCTTGGAGGTTTTCCTGAGGAGGCACCAAGTGAACAAATTTTATTTATTGCCAGTAAGTCAAAGTGAAATAGGAGACAAATGTTAATGGGCAAAGTAGTCATGCGGCTATATCTGACTACTCCAGAGAAAGGGTAAGATACAGCTAGACTTTTTTTTGGACACCAACACCTATCTTTTGAACTGGGATGTTGTTCCCAAAGTCAAGTATATTTCATTGAGTGGCTTCTTTTGGTTAATATTCATTCATTCATTTTATATATATCAAGCACTTGCTATAAGCCAAACACGATTCCTGATGTTTTGTAAACACTGATGAACAAATAAACAAAAAGAGGTAAAGATCTCTGCTCTCATGAAATTTGCATTCTAGTTAGATGTTTTGAGTTATTGGATTGTATATTGCAATGCACAGTTAAGTGTACATCACAATCAAGTGTACATACTTAGTTGTCCTAATGTGGAACCTGTACCTAGACCAAGAGGTAGTCAATTCAGTAAGAACAAGGGACACTGCAGGTTTTAAAATCAAGAAAGGTATGCATCAGGATTGTATGCTTTCACCATACTGATTCAGTATGCATGCTGAGCAGATAATCCCAGAAACCAGACTACATGAAGAAGAACGTGGTATCAGGAGTACAAGGGAAGACTCATTAATCTGACATACATAGATAACACACCCTTTGCTTGCTGAAAAAGTATTTGAAGCACTTACTAATGACTACAGCCTTCAGTATGGATAACATTTCAACTGGACCAATAAATAACATCATGGTTAATGGAGAAAAGATTGAAGTTGTCAAGGATTTTATTTTACTTGAATCCACAATCAATACTTAGGGACAATGAGGAAATCAAACAATCTATTGCACTGGGCAAATTTGCTTCAAAAGATGTTTTTAGAATGTTAAAAAGCAAAGATGTCACTTTGAGGCTTAAGGTGCACTTGACCCAAGCTGTGATCTCTTCAGTCACCTTATATGCACCCAAAAGTTGGACAGTGAATATGAAGGAGTGAAGAATTGATGCCTTTGATATTGGTGAAGAATACTGAAAACACCATCGGCTGTGAAAAGAACGAACACACCTGAATAGGAAGAAGTACAGCCAGAATGTACACCTGAATAGAAGCAAGGCTGTCGAGGCTTCATCTCACATACTTCGGACACGTCAGAAGAGATCAACCCCTGAAGAAGGAAATCACGCTTGGTAAAGTAGAGGGTTAGTGAAAAAGAGAAAGACCCTCAACGAGATAGATTAATACAGTGGCTGTAACATTGGACTCAAACATAGCAATGATAGTGAAGAGAGCAGAGGACTAGGCAGTGCATCCTTCTGTTGTACATAAGGTTGCTATCAGTTAGAACCAACTCGACGGCACCTAACAACATGTGCTAGTGCAGTATCTTATTAAAGATGAAGATTTTATAAATCATACATAGCCAAAGTCATAGAGCCGAAGGTTATATAAATACATAAGAATATATGGATTTTCAAAATGTGGCCCCTAAGTCAGTTTGGAAAAGGTTAAAGATACTAATGTTTTTAGTGGATTATGAGCTGGGCTGTAATGCAAAGTCTGTAGCTCAAATGTACCAGTCATTCTGCGGAAGAGAGATGAGACTTTCTGCCCCCGTAAAGATTTACAGCCTCGGAAGACATACAGGTTCACTATGAGTGGGAATGGACTTGACGGCACTTAACAAAAACAAAGAGTATATAGTTCTTAAATGAAACTGATACAGTAATACTCTGCTTTCAAGTTTTGGTGAACTAAGGGTTATGTGTTTGCTGTTATCATTGAAAAATTAAATACTTGCCTTATTGGGGAAAAAAGTTTATACTTAAGTAATTTCAAACTTACTACCTTTATATGTGGGAGTCCTGGTGTGGTGCTACAGGTTAACGTGCTTGACTGCAAAGTTGGTTTGAACCACAAGGTCGACAGTTCAAGCTCACCAGCCACTCCTCGGAAACCCTACACAGGGTTGCCATGAGTTGAAACTGACTCAACGGCACTTCACAACAACACATTTATGTTGCGTATTGCTACCTATGGTGTGGTGCTGTAGGATAAGCACTGGACTACTAACCGCAAAGTCAGTGGTTCAAATCCACCAACCACTTCTTGGAAACAGAGTTGTTATGAGTCAGAACCAGCTAGAAGGCACTTAACAACAACAATAACAACATAGCTACCTTAGGAAGCTGATCAAAAGGGCAGCAGTTTGGAAGCCACCTGCCACCCAGTGGAGGATGCTGTGGTAGTCTGCTTCATAAAGGTGT